CCTAATTGTGATCTCAAGAATAGCATTAAGAAAACGGTGGACAACTACCTATCTATGTCCTCAAAGGTATTAGTAGAATTGGCACAGCCAAAAAATAGACCCGAAGGATCATTGCTTCGCAATAATATATAAATAGTATGGGTATTTTATATCATGAAGCAAATAATAAATCGAATAAATACCTGTGTACTATGCTTCTACTGTATTTCTAAAAGTCGTTTTTGGAATCTAACACGCAATTGACTCTTTTTAGAATCTATCCAATTATATGGAATATAATATTCTTTATATTCTCTATTATTAATGGAAGCGCACATCGTGTGATCATTTTTATATAATTCAATCCATTTATTATGCCACTGATTGAACTGATCTCGAGTTTGAGGATTTTTCACTTTGTGAGAAGTTAAACCCAGAAATTTCTCATCTTCTGGAGTACCATCATTTGTTAAGCTGTTCCAAGCAAGTCGTGCATTTGATGGCTCTTTTTCTTGGAATCGTCTCCAAGCACTTTGTATAATCCTTGCTGAACCATCTTTAGTTTTTGCTTTGCTACACTCATTATCCCAGTGATATTGCATCAAATCTACTGGTTCAACTTTTTCAATGTATCTATAGATAGCAGAAGCATATACTTTCTTCAGTTTCACATCATTGACTTGAATCAATTGCCGGCAATCGAAACATATAGCCATATAACTTTTATGAATCCTTGGTCTGTAATAAATGGAATTAACCAATTTACTCTGACCGAATGACGAGAATAGAGCATATCGATGATAAAAGCTAAATTTTCCCTCATTTATTAAATTCTGTAATGGGATCCTTACTCGTAATGACCATTGAAATGGTGTCTCATTATGTTTTATAGTGGATAAATTATCGAACCATCTTTCATTATTGAATACTTGGTTAAGTTTATTTCCATAAGATCCGGTATAATTTAGAATATACGATTTCACATATTTCATATCAAAACCTGGACGAATATTAAAGGGTTTGGGTAATGCTCTATTTTTCTTATCAAGAATAGTTGCAATATCAAAACCAGACATAATTATCGATTATTTGACTTATAATTTTTTAAACGATTATATAGTTTATAGAACCTATTAGATTTTATTAACTTAATACTTCCTTAATTCCGGATTCAATTTTTGTGAGAGGTATTGTGATGAATGAATATCGATTAAATATATTAAGTCAGAAGCCCTATCGCTTAATAAAGACGAAATTTTTTGCATGACTATCCCAGGAAGAAGTATAATAAATAAAAAACGAGGTGGATACATTCAAAGCTATTTCTTATCTCGTAGTTCAGTGGACTAACCGCGGGAAGCCTGTGTGATCTTCCTCTCCTCACTACGCAGACAATTATAGCTGACGATCACGCCCTCAGAGTAGTATTTTTATAAGTATAGGAAAAATAAATTTTAGGGAGGTAGTAGTCGGATCCTAGGCCTGCCTTGAAAGGCTATAACTATACCTGAGAAGGCTATTCTATAAAGGATAGATCGTGTATTTTTTGCGGACCAGACGATCACCTTCACCTAAGTACTGGGCTACCTAAGGTAATTATGAGCCCGTTGAGTCTCACAACATGCATAGTCAGAGGCCCTATCGCTCAATTTTAAAGACGAAATTTTTTGCTTGACTAAGCATACCCGTACAAATAGCTCTAACAATCATCTTATCAACGCAAAAACTATCTAACGGAAAAAAGAGAAATTGGGCAGAATATTAACGGAGCTAGTGCCAAAGGTGCTAAAAAATCTATTTTATATGTACTGCATGTGGCTATGTCTACACCGCATATCGATATACAATAATTTTATATTTGGCGCTACAGAAATTTAACACGAAATCGCTATATTTGGTATAATAATTAGTCAGTGTTTTCAGATCTAGACTGTATTAACGGTAACGGTAAAAAATTACGCGATGAATCTCATTAACCATCTACTTCAACAGTGGCTTAGCGATTTTACTTAGATTTGTTATAAAAAAGCCAACAACACTTCAACAGTGGCTTAACAGCGGTTATCTAGAATCTATTAATACGTATTCAGTAAACATACGTGCTATTTTAACACAATACGTAGCGGTAATTTCTGTTAGAATTTATTCTGTCATACTATCATATGACTTAACGGTCCCACGCATAATTTATTGCAGAGCAATGACCCTTCGGGTCTACAATTTCTTATCGCATAAACTCCGTATTCCCGACGGCTTCCAGAGGCCGTCGGAGTATAAACTGAATTTAATATTTTTATGATAATAACGATTATCAATGACTTGCATGCGGTGGCACTCTCCTGCAGAATCTTTCTCACGGTCGATTTTTTATTAACAGTTAATAACTACACGCTCTAGAACCTTTTCCTTACCTTATATAAGATCCTGCGATAAGAATGGGACTTAAAAAGGTTATAAGGGCAATGAGTACAACTTTCTTTATCAGTAGTTTTATCGAAATTCATATGTTACTAGGACTTGGAATCTCCGCCATCCCAGATCGTCAACTTTTTTCACTTCGTAGTAGCGATCGTCAAATCTAAGGGGGTTTAATTTCACCTAAAAAACGACGAAATGGATTCAGTATTTGGAACTTATAGCCGAACGGGGTTGCTTTACGTGGCTGGATCTGGTATTGTGTTAGGGTAACGCAATTACTAATCATGTAACTTTTTTTTTCTGGCAGGTTTTTTAGATCTATCGAATGAGCGGTATAAAAATAAGCGATTTTTGTCAGTAAGGTAAGTTACCAATAACGTTATTTTTTGCTCATATATTTTTTACCTGATTCACTTGCCTGTATATTTTTTTTAAGTAATTTGCTACATATAATTTCATTTAACGGAGACTATGAAGATGATTTTTTACTTACTATGTTTTTTGTATTTAGGAACGAAAAATGAGCACTAACGATAACACCACCTTCAAGACTAACGAACCGAACCCTAAGACTAATGAATATATTTATCTTAATTGTCTCATCACGCTCTGCTTACTGTATCATTTTTTTAAAATCAAAGTTTCTAATGGAAGTGATGTTGAATCATTAGAAACTCAAGTTCAAGCCCGTTTGTCCCTATTACCATCTGGTGCAACTAGCACACCTCACCGGTTTCTTATATTTCGCCCTCAAGGAGGATATGTGAATATGCATCCTCATACTAATCTTTATACTCTTTTCAGTAATAATCCTGATCAAAATATTATTCATGTACTTGTAGAACAATTACCAGG